ATCGCCCTGATGACGGAGGCAGTATGACCTCTGAAACGTTGGTTAACATCGACCAGACTACACAGCGCAACAACCCAGAAGACAGAAATCTTCATACTCATCGCTGTGGAAACCTCAAATCTTACACAGCATTATTATAATTATAATTATCGTCGTCGTCATCATTATAAAAATAATCATCATCATCATTATTAACCAAGGAATTTCTGAAAGCTGTTCTAATGGCAGCAGACCTTGCAAAATAGAACGTAGTGCCATCTAGTGTCAAAACTGAAAATTGTAGAGCTGTGTTAGTACACCGTAATAACAAACTGAATTTTATGTAACACAGATGAACACTCAATGCTTGTAAACACCTGAAAACAGTGTTTGCAAACATGACGTCGTCGAATCTGAGCTGTATATTTCTGTGAAATGAAAGAAGGAAAAGATAAATAGTCGACAATGGTGAACTACGCACTTTATCAAAGAAAGCACGAGGTACAGAGAAAATCTTCTGGCAGTATTGAACTGCCTTCAGACATGATGATGTGTTTTGGCTGAAAGACTACTTCTTAAATAAGAATTCCAACGGATAATGATAACGTTCTTTTGTTTCAAACTTCAGGTATTAGCAACTATTGATATATATTAAAGCGTTAAATAATATGCCATTGTTGTGTTTATTCCTATCTTATTAAACATTCTAAATTTCGCAACATATTTCCTAAATTAATTTTCAATTTTCGTTTAAATCAGAAATTGTGTAAAAGAATTTCGATAGAATTGTTATTGACTACCACTACCATCTGGTGGATAAATAACGAAGTAGAATAGTTGAACTTACGTAGTTCATCTCTTCTCCGACAGATGGCAATAGTAATGCATTTGTCAACCATTACGTCTGCATGTCCTCGATTTCCACTGGGTTGAATGTACGGATGTTTCTAGCAGAAGGAAATTCCAGTTGCTGGTATGCTGGACGTATTTCCGTTCTCAGACAACTTGATCAAACCTTCGCGGTCAAGAATCAAGGCCAAGGCAGAGGGATGGAACGCGAAGAATTCCACAGTGTCGTAAGCGTGAAACAAAGACGTCAGTCCGAACTTCGTGGGAATGCAAAAGACATACTAACCTCTTGATACAGAGTCTTTCTTGAGAAGTTTATGGGAAATTGCGTGTTTTAATAACAGTGAGAGTTCTGTAACGATGCTTAAAATAGCAGCTGAATCAGGTGGTGCCATCTATCAATGGCATTGCGAACTATAATCTCAACGACGTATTAATAATAACTCGGGGATGGATGGAAGGAATTTTATGAGATTTGGTGTGGAGATTATGCTATTGGAGATTAATCGACGGTAATGCGCGCAGAGAATACTGTAAAACACTTTTGGAATTTACGTGTTTTCCAAAGAGGAAACCTTTCCAGTCCTCTTTCCATCACATTCTTTTACATGCTGCTCTAAAAATAAGAATGCACATATGTTCCAAGGAACATGAGATGAGCGGAGCATGTAGAAAGCATGGGTAGTATGAGTAATAATTACGGTTGGAAAACCTTAAGGAAAGAAATTATTTGGAAGACCTAGGAATATATAGGTTGCTTATACCAAACAGGACCTTAAGGAAATAGCTTTTGAGGGCTTATAAAAGATAGTTGGCGGTCTCTTGTAAAGATGGTAATAAAACTTTATCTTTCATAAAAATAGTGGAATTTCTTGATTAGCTGAGAGTAGTGTTATCTTCACATGGACTCTGTTTCATGGTCTTACAGCGTTAGGTAATTTGTTATTCATTTTTATTCAATCGTCCGGAAACTAGTACATGATTGTTCTCAGTTTTGTACATCATCATCCCCGCTGGTCATTGGGGTCTACAAATTTCTCAGACACCCCAGAAAAAGAGCGACAGAGCAGATGAAATTTAATGACATCTTCAATTTGTGTAGGCGAAGAATTTATTTTAAAATACAGATTTGAATGAAACGATATTTGTGCTTAAACAATAATTTATGGAATGTATAATGTTTTCTTGAAGCTACAGACTGTCATAAATTATTAATGTACAGTTAAACAACTTTGTGATCTGTTTCTGTAAAACATAAGCACTAACCATAGATTATTCCGTCCTGAAATTTGTCAGAACTAACACAAATATTTCGCAAATGTTGTAAACAATGTTCCAGTCAAAATACGTAATCTATTACAACTAAAATTTATAGCCCATCTCCGCACGAATTTTCAGTATTAAATTATCGAGCATTTCTTCAGTAAATACAATAAAATCATATGTAGCCCATTTACATTTATGATCGATCTCTGTTGGAACATTTAAATGGTTCGCCAGTATGTACAACGAAATCAAAATCTAAATATTCTATAAATTCCATGCAAATTATTTTATACACAACCATTACAATGATTCTTTAAATTTAACAATTGTACATTAAACAATGTCAATGTTAGAAGATAAGTGGGGCGATTATATAATAATTTTTAATATTTATTTAGTGTAATTCTATATTTGATTCTTCTCTCATCTCTTCATTTACGTCTTTATCAGTTTTAAACTATGTTTTCAAACTACGCGGTGAATACAAGAACAATTGATGAACGGTAAGAAGATTCTTAAGATAATTGTCCAGACTTTCACGTTGCTTTAGAAACTAATTCTATCAAGAAAGTCCGAAGCTGTGAAATGATTTATTTGAAACGAAAGAAGAAGGAAAACAAACAAACAAACAAACGATTTCAACTCCAGTGGAAGAAGCCGTTACCAGCACTGAAAAGTGTGTTAGAGGGTCATCTCATCCTCTCTCCAAAAGAATTGCCCTGGGGCAGAAGCCCTACAATCTGCCGACACACACAGAAATTGAGATGATAAACTCATCTAATTATTATATGGACATTTTTGAGTGTAATTCCACTCTGGAGCTTATTCGTTAGAATCATAGTTACATTTTAATTTATATCATTGCTGGCGTATTTGAATACGTATTATTATATTATTTAGTGTTCTGTCTGAGTACAGGTCCATATGAACAGGATCCTTCCATCCTTTTCTCGGACTGGGACCTGTTCATATACGTTCTTGGCAGATGATCCAGAAGTGGTTTGCCATTGCCTTCTTCTGCGTGTGAATGGAGTAATTGTTGGGATGCCACGAAGGAAAACTCCGTGTTGCCTAGATAAATGAAAAATAATTCTTCAAGTGTCGGGTCCAAGCCAGTTACGCGCTATACGACTGCATTATG